AGTTGATGCACAGCTGCTCAAACGAGTTATCCTGTGAGAAAGGCAAAAAAGGAAAGCCTTGAGTTTGAAAGTTCACATTTGGATTTTATAATCTGTTAATGAAGAATTTTACCCTGTCAGACTCACCTCAAAGATCTCAAACCCAGCAATGTCTAAGATGCCCAGAAAAGAGGCTCCCTGGCGCTTTGTCTTATCTAGAGCCTTGTTGACACGTGCCAAGATCCAGCGAAACAGACGGTCATACATGGCCTTGGCCAAGGCTTCAATTGCAAAGTCAGCCTGATAAATGGACAGATTTAAATTACACATATTATATATATATATACATTTTGTTTTGTTTTGTTTTGTGCAATAGATTACAATGAAGAACGTTTATTTTTAGGAGTGTTGAGAATTGTAGTTGGTCAGTGTAATTACTAGTAACTAAAAAGTAATGATAAAATGTTTACTCCAAACAGTACAAATACAAAATCTGCTGAAATCTTAAAAATGTTGCGTTATATATTGCATTATGGCTGTATGGCATAGTGTGGTAATGCACCTGTTCTTTGGTCTGTGCTTTCTGTACCAGCTCTCGGCCTACTTTGATGCAAGGAGTGAGAATAGCTTTGGTGAAGTAAGTCACATTAATCCCCTGCAGATGGCACACTTTCTGTGCAGCTGGTGGATGCATTTACCACAACATATGAGCATTTTGTTTTAGTCGGGACAGTTCAGGATAAGAGCAACATCACAGATTAATCCCTCTGATTGTTTACCTGTATTATCAGGCATGCTGGCCTGCTCCTGGTTTTTCTCTGCTTTGAACTCAATATTCCCCAGTTGCAGTACAGTAGAACATACTTTCAACATGCCTAAAAGAAACCCAACACTTCATGTAAAACAGCATGAAAAGATAGGATGTTAAATTATAAAATAAAGTCATTGTTTTGGTATGTACCAATTCTTTCCTCCTCATTGAAGCCCAGGACCTCCATGGCTTCCAGAGTCTCTTCAAACATCTCATCATCTTGCTGGTTTTGTACCTGCACATGCCCAGCCACCAGGAAACGGTAGTTACCAAAATCCTCTAGCAAGAGTTCATCTGTGGAAGAGAATGACTGCTAGTGGTATGTCTGAAATGATGCCTAAAACTGTCAAAATGCATTTAATACTTTTAGAAGGCAGAAAGTAACATCAAAATAAACTCTGTTGTGTACATCTGCAAAGCAAACAAATAAACTGGCATAATTAGCTGATCTGTATTTGTGAATGTAATCACACAAGATTCATTTCGTAGCTGCTGTGATAGAAATTCTTGGTCCTCACCCACCTCGCATTTTGTCTTTGGCTCCAGCCACCATGTAGTAGAAGATGTGGAAGGATCTCTTGATTTTGGCCTGTCGGATACACCGAGACTTTTCCAGGAGGTCTGGATTCATTAAGACATTAAGGTGAAAATGAATGCGCTTGACTTTGTGGTGTAAAGTAAGTCTAAAAATGTTTTAGAAATGATTGTTCTAACTGATTTTGATATCAAACTGTTGTACAGATTCAGTGGAAATGTGGACTTGTTAGGATACAGGTTTCAATGTTTGCTCCAACGATGTAGCCAGTGTTGTCAAAGTTGATTTTAATAAATTTACCCTGAGAAGGAAAAACAGCAAACGTTTTATACTAATGTTGATTATAATGATAATGAGCAAATATTCAAGACCAAAACAATACATTTTAATTCACAAATCTTGAGGAATTATCATTTTTGATGGTCTTTGCATTGCCAAATGCCTCCAGAATAGGATTGGCCTGCAGGAGCTGCTTCTCTAGCTCACCCTAAACAAACGGACCAAGGAAATGCCATTCATTGTGATTCAATGCAGTCAAACTATAACTTCTAATGTACTTTTTATAGTTGAGCATATATTTAAAGTGAAAAGCCATTCAGGTTCATAATTCATGATTGACATGTAAAATAACAAAGACACTGACATCCAAAAAATATTTGAAAAGAAGCTCAGGTACTCACATATGCTAACTGGGGTCCTTTTTGTTGCTAAATGGGGGTAAATAATGAATTGATTAAAAATAATCCATTACAAGAAGTTAAAATTGAAAAGTGCAGAGTATGACTCCAGCTTATAAGTTCTGACAGCAATTCTATCAATGATTGTGTACGTGATGTCCTGTGATTCTTTATTTCAGATCTGTTTATTCTGTGAATTATTTCAAAAAAGAATCCAACAATTGTGTTTTGTTTTATGAACAGCCATCCAAAATCACAAAGCATATGCAGAAGCACATCTGAATGGACAAATTTGTAAATGAAGCCACACCCACAGTAGTATTAATGCACTGTACCATGTAATATTTAAACATATCGTTAAGTGCTGAAGTGTTTATATCCTATAATAAAGACGTGACTAGTTATCAAAATCTTAACAGCAACGAGGGCATGCAAAAAACTATTATTATAACTGTATGACATGTTAGTTGGTTTAATGTTAAAAAGTTTGAACTCACAGAGCTGGTGTCTCTCTTTCCTTTGTGTGATGATGCCACAACTGCAAGGTACTGGATGACCTTTTTGGTATTTTCAGTTTTTCCAGCACCCGACTCGCCACTATTAAACATACATTAAAGTATGCTGCCGCACGTCACATAATAATTTGCATAATAATTTACATGTCAGGCTGCTTAGCTAATAGAATTATATTGTGCATATAAATATGTATCATTTTATGGCCCATGTGATATTTGACCATTCAAACTTATGCTTTGGTAATTCTTGCAAATGTATCTGCTGATTACATCTTTACTGAATGGTGCCTCACAGACACAATGGATTCTTATTTCATTGGTCAACCTAAATGCTTTACCATTAAAGAACTAGTTTCATTAGAACTTTATTTTTAAGAGTATATGGAGCAAATAACACGTAGGGCATTTAGAACTCACGTGCAGAGAATAGACTGGTCCTCGCGCTCTGTGGAGAAAGAAACATGTGAACACAGGACAAGAAATGCATGAATTGTCACAGTTAAGAACCTGAAAGAGATTAACACGAGGCCCGGCTGTCTAAACACAAACTCCACTATTGTTCACTGGAGATCCCTACCTCCAAAATCTTACATATTCTAAATTGAGTACAGGGTGAGATTAACTTCAGTTCATCCTTGCAAAAATAGCTGTAAAAAACTTCAGTGAGAAAGGGAAAGGCCCCATGTATGGCAATTTTGATGGCACAGCCTGTGAAACAAAGTCCCTGACACACACTCTCCAATACACAGCTGGCTCTGCTGGACTGAATAACTACGAATAATCTTAATTTTTATAATTTCCTTATTATTCTATGTTTGTGTTGTGCAATTACACAACATCGAAAGAGTTACTTTTGGGAAGATTTTTGTATCTTTCTAGTTTCCATAACCACATTAAGCGTGTGAATTTTCTAACTGTTTTTATAGGGTGCATTCAGTGAGTTAAGACTGGTGGTCACCTTGCAGCATGTTCCTATAGGCATTATCAGTGACGGCATAGATGTGGGGAGGAACCTCATGACGCTTCTTCCCCTTGTACATCTCAGTGATCTTCTCAGAGTAGATGGGCAACAACTTATAGGGGTTCACCACCACACAGAAGAGGCCTGAGTAAGTCTAGATTTGAAATAAATATGAAATGTATCAAAATATATGTCAGGAAGCTGCAATATTATTATACATTTTACATACATTGGTACAAATCTGCTTTTCATTCGATCAGACGTTATCAACTTTTTTGATATCAAGACCCCCAAGATATGATGATGCCCTTGGGAGGAAGCCCCTTTCTAAAGTCACTAAAGTCGAAATCACCGAGATATGATCATGAATAAAGACTTTTGTAGTTTAATCAGTGGAGCAAGTCATTTGGACCATCCTACAGCCAAATTCATCAGAATATAGCCTACAGTCAATGCAAATGATGAGGCTTTTCTCCTGAAAGACAATTTTGTAAAGGTCATTAAACGCTAAATGACTGTCTGTAGCCAATCTGTTAAAGTGCCTTGACTGATCAAGTCATTATTTATTATTTCTGTTTAACCTGGCCAGTATACTTGATAGAGTTTATAACCAATTTATAATAAGTCAGCTATAAACTTTTATAAAAAGTCATCAAGCTCAGGTTGATGCTCATTATACAAGCTTATTATGATTTAATTTCATGGTTTCCACAGTTTGTTTGACCCATAGTTGTTTAGAATGGCAATCCAATTAAACATTTAATCCTTAAAATGTACTAGTATCTATATTCATGTTTCGAGCTACTATTATCTATTAATTTAGACAAAGTAAAAACAAAAGTAAATGTACTTAATAGGTTCAGAATATTTTTGTTCTAAAAGGTTACTAGTAGCTAATACTTAAAGATTAACTTAAATCCTCTTCCAAGTTAAATATTAGACAGCAAATATCAGAAATATGCCCCTATTGACTCCTTATAACCTACCTATACATAAACAGTGCACCGTTCTAAGAACGTATTTTATCATTCAAAGTAATTCAGTATCTTTACAAAAAAATTATTTTATTTCATGCAAGGCATCAGACGTTTTCATCGCATTCAACAACTGTTGTGACATGCGTTTAACTGAGTGTCATCTTGTCCCTGTTTGCTGCGTTACATACAGGAAAATGACTTACAGCACAGTAACAACTTTATAGACAAAATAAAACATACTCAAACCTTTGATTCACTGAACTGCTCTCACCTGAAGATGATGTAAAAACCTCTCACTGTTACTAAACAGCTGGGTTTCAACTGTAATTGAGATTGACCCAGCAACTAACTCAAGGACCGGGTAACATAAAAACTACTCAACAATGAAAAAATAACCCTAAACCCCCCCCTTCCTACTAGTTGAAGGAAAAGAGCTAGTACGTTTTAAGGAAAGATGTTAAAACGGCTTGCCATATTGTCGTGTGTGGCTCCCGTTACGTCAGTTCAATCGATGAAGTAACAGCGCCCCCTATTTTTCAGCTCATCCATCCCACGTCTATACGGGTCCCCAACATCACAACAGCGCACAGCAGTGGTTATGAAACGGAAGCAGTGTGAACCCAGCATAGCTACTATAACAGATCCTTCCTGCGGCGAATGGGTATTGACAGTTTCTGCAGTTTGGACGGTTCTGATCCATTTTGGGTGAGTAAATAAACAGTCCTATCGTCGTAAACTGTGTTTTTCCGACGATATTTTGTTTTCAACAGATTGTCAAGGTTCACCGGGCTTGTGCTCCGCAGCATAGAGACACTTGGCTGTGTCTCAAAACACAGCGAGCAGCCTAACTTACCTAGACATCATTTTAGGGCGTCATAGGCGCGTTTGGATGTGCGTTTTGATGGTCAGAGCATTTTCAGGCATCAAATGCGCGACTGAAGAGTTCAATGCGGGTTGAATGGACCTATAATAACGCCAAATAATGCTGCCTAGGTAGACAGCTTACCAAGTTTTGAGACGCGGCCACTGTTGCTAAGCTAACCGGTTAGCCACACAGCAAACTATCATATATGCTTATAACTCTCTGTGGACTGTGATCCTGTAGTGTTGATATTTGTTTATAACAGTCTAACCGCCGTATGTAAGAGTGATTTATAACACGACCACCTGCTCAGTGTGTCTTTATCTCAGTGTGAAGCTGAAGAGCTGACTTGTTACTGCTCTGATTTGTTTTTGTTAAGCACATTCCTCTAATGCTAAGTAGTTTCCTTTTAACTAGAGAACTCAGGTAATCATTTGTCATATTCACAAAGAATTAAGCCTTGTTTGTTTGTGTTCCAGTTTATGCAAGGTCTGACATGTCTGTGGATTAACAGTATTAGTTGTAGCCTGGCAGGTTGAGACAATTTGTCCTTCTGGGTCAGAGGGCTAAAATATTGAATTATGAATCACTCTGACCAGATGACTGCATGCCAAGAAAGTATGTTACTTTTCTTGAATTGCTCCAAGCTTTTATATTTACGTTGTTAGTCCTTTGTTTGTCCAATGATACAATGCAATGAAAGATTACCAGGTTTGTAAAGTTATTAAAACTGTTTTAAATCATAGGGATACTTAAAAATGTGAAAATTGTAAACATGTAAAGTAAAAACGAAAAACTAATGTAAAAAAAAATTAAGAAATTGTTCAAGTCATGGGTACCCAATAATAATAATAATACCGTAATATAAGTAAATGTTTTACATGTTTTTTTTACTTGTGTTTTCCCCAGTCATTTAGTAAGTTCCCTCTTATTTTTATAAAAAAAATAAAATTAGTACAAGAAGTATTTCCATTTAAATAATATGCAATTATTATCTTTTTTTTAAAGTCATTTTTATAACATTATTTAAATGTTTCATGTTTTTTTCCACCCTTATTAAACTGCTGGGAATTACTCGTTAAAATATGATGAAGTGTATCTTTTAAATTTTACTTATTGTTTTCCCCATTGTATTAATTCAGTACAGTCAGTAATTTTTATAAAAAAAATAAAATTAGTACAAGAAGTATTTCCATTTAAATAATATGCAATTATTATCTTTTTTTAAAAGTCATTTTTATAACATTATTTAAATGTTTCATGTTTTTTTTCCACCCTTATTAAACTGCTGGGAATTACTCGTTAAAATATGATGAAGTGTATCTTTTTTATTTTACTTATTGTTTTCCCCATTGTATTAATTCAGTACATTCAGTCATCTTTTTTTGTATTACAGTAATTTAAAAGTACAACAAATACTGCCATGACATAAATAATTCCCAAGTGACACAATATATTATCCTTTGCTTTTATCATATTTTTTTCTTGTTTTTCCTTGTTACAGTAATAAGAAAAAAGGTCTTAATGGTCCTAAAAATAGGCTTAGTTTTCTTTTTGCAAAACAACTTCCTTATGGTAAATTTATGGTGAAATGTGTTGTTCTTGACAAAGACTCACAACATTAGTGCCATTACCAAAAAAAAAACACATTCAAGTGCATTTAGTTCAATAGCTCGAATGTCAAGAAAATCACATTTCATGTCCTAGTCTTGAGAATTTAGCAGAGCAGCCTTTTATTTATTGACCTGTTTTTCCTCCTCAAACACAGGATCATGGGAAGAGATGCTCCCTACAGAGAACACAATTAGATTTTCTTTGTAAGAAAAGGTACAGTTCATTTTTAGGCATGTTTTGGATGTCACTACTTGAAGAAGACTTGTTTTTGTCAAGAAACTTAAGACTCTCTGCTCTGCTCTATTGCGCAGAAAAGATTGCGCTTGACTTTGGTTCTATGAAAGATCTGCTCAAGAGTGTTTGTTCCTTGCACACATCATTAGGTCTTTGTGTGCTTTACCGGGCAGCTCTCCTAGTCTTGAGAATTTAGCAGAGCAGCCTTTTATTTATTGACCTGTTTTTCCTCCTCAAACACAGGATCATGGGAAGAGATGCTCCCTACAGAGAACACAATTAGATTTTCTTTGTAAGAAAAGGTACAGTTCATTTTTAGGCATGTTTTGGATGTCACTACTTGAAGAAGACTTGTTTTTGTCAAGAAACTTAAGACTCTTTGCTCTGCTCTATTGCGCAGAAAAGATTGCGCTTGACTTTGGTTCTATGAAAGATCTGCTCAAGAGTGTTTGTTCCTTGCACACATCATTAGGTCTTTGTGTGCTTTACCGGGCAGCTGAGAACTCTGTGTCTACTCCAGTTGTTACTTTGTTTCTAAGTTTCGTCCAAAGAATCTCCAGAGACGCAGAGTAAATTGAAACACCCTTCTGTCCTCTTATGTTTTCAGGATTGGAACCGGACATGGCAAACACACAATCCAGACCTGACACCATGTTTCCAGAACACAGTGCTGGTTTGGATACCATGCCTCTACCTCTGGCTGTTTGCACCGTTATACATCCTATACCTCAAAAGAAATGACCATGGATACATATGCATGACCCACCTCAACAGAGCCAAAACAGTGAGTATTAACAAACAGGTTTCCGGTACAATGCTTTTTATGTAGCAGTGTGCTTTGGGAGTGTGTATACTGATAACTCTGCCAAGGTCAACAGCTGTTTCAAGGTCATGTGACTCTCCTCCAACAGGCTATTGGGTTTACCCTATGGCTTATCTGCTGGGCAGATGTTTTCTACTCTTTCTGGGAAAGAAGCCATGGTGCTACAATAGCCCCAGTCTACCTAGTCAGCCCCACAATGCTTGGCGTTACAATGGTGAGACCTGTTTTTTCACAAAAGAAAGTGCTGAATTAAACTACTTTGCTTGTAAATTACTCTTCGGCTTGCATTGATTTCATATTCAAATTACATGAAAGTATTCCACTTTCTTTGCCTCAAGGACAAATTCTCCCTAATACATTATTGTTTAAAAAATTGTCTAGTCATGGTCTTTTCTTAGCCTGATGTTTACAAATTTGAAATGTTTTGTAATTGGATGTGTTTTATATGTGTTTTAGTTGCTGGCTACGTTTTTGATCCAGTATGAGCGGATGAAGGGGGTCCAGTCCTCAGGGGTGATGCTCAATTTTTGGCTAATCACCATAGTGTGCGCTACAGTCACTTTTCGCTCCAAGATTCTGCATGCATTGAATGAGGTAAATTTAAAACCGACAGTTTTTGCAGTTCATGTAATAATATATATATATATTTTTTTTTATTCCAGTGTGATTCAGATGTCTTCTTGAGTCGTATGTGACTCAAATTTATTTTGTTCTGTATTTTGTAGAAAACCGAGACAATCCATATTCATATGAGATTTTTTGGGGCAATTCACCCAGAGCCGTTGAGAAAAACAGAGTTGCGACACTCCCATAGGCTTCCATAGGAACTGAGGAATGCGGAAGTAAAGCGTGTCATGGAGCAGCCAATAGTTCCAAACAACCAATAGTTCCAGTATTGAAGCCCATTCATTGCAGTGCTTCTCAAACACACTCGCCATAAAGTTGAGGAAATTACAGCAGTTTTAGGCATTTTAACGCATTTGTTTACCTCTCGGAAATCTGGCCAGTAGTTGCATTTTATGAAACGCGTTTTAGTTAATGTTTAGTTTTAGATAATAGGCAGTTATGCTATATTTGCAGTTAGGTAACGTGAGAAACACCTTAATAGCGATCATAACCAGATGCTAGTTGTCATATTTTTAAGTTTTTAGTCTTTCTGCAATCTTTCTCTCCCTGTAGGAAGTTGAATGAGTTTCAGTGAAGACTTCCCATTAAAGGAATACAAGAAAGAGTTTCCCTGAATGCAGTTGGTTGCCTTGTTTTTTTTTTAAACGTTATTTAAAAAATTTTTATTGGGTTAAGTTCCGTATTTGCTGGCCTTTTTTAACATTCACTTATATTATCTTCTTACATAAATGTCATAAAATAATACTGGAATGTGAGTGTAACAATGTTCGTAGGTCGGGAAGATGGAGGCGGGAACCGGCGAACATTTAAAGAAAACTTTAATAATAAAATAAACACAAAATAGCGCGACAGCCCCTCGCGGACGACTGTCGCACACAAACAGAACCAAAACACAAAATAAAGTCCAGGCCTGGTCCTCGCTCGTCTTTCACTGTCGTCACTCCTCCTTTTATCCTTCCGGAGCTCCTCCGTGGGACTCGAGACCGGTGAGTGGTGCAGGTGTCGCTCATCATCAATTACTGCACCGGCCTCGCTCCGTTCCCACGGCTCTCGGCCCCGCCCCCACTCGTCACAGTGAGTAATTAATCTTTTTTTTAATTTAGCATTTAAAAAAAAAGAAAAAATTATAAACATTGAGTGTTTGATAATGTCTAAATAGACAATGCAAAAGACAAAATAAATAAATAAGCTATTATGACCGGTAAAACTTTTTACAGCAACTAGAGTAGAGCTAAATATATGTAGGCTATATTTATTAAACAGCCATATGGGCATCTAGTGGTTAAACCATGGCATAACATAGGAGTATTATTTTTCTGGCCACCAAACGTCTCTAATTTGCATCTTTGCACTGGAATTTAAATTTTTTTTTCTCTATTTTAACCCTAAATACTACGCTAATTGTAATATAAATAATAAGCATATTTGAAAAAATATTAAAGGGGTCATATGATGTTGCTAAAAATAACATTTATTTTGTGTATTTGGTGTGATGAAATGTGTTTATGCGGTTTAAGGTTAAAAAAAACAAATTTTCCACATACTGTACATTATTGTTTCTCCTCTATGCCCCGCCTTTCTGAAACACGATTTTTACAAAGCTCATCAGTCTAAAAAGCGAGGTGTCCTCTGATTGGCCAGCTATCCAGTGCGTTGTGATTGGCCGAATACCTCAAGCGTGTGACGGAAATGTTACGCCCCTTAACATACTGTGATGCCCTGTCAGGCCGGAGCGTAACATAAAACCATGTCTCCATGTCTGTGATCTGACAGAAATGACAAACAACAAGTGCTACTCTACACTGCCCAAAACTCGCGTTTGAATCGTCAATGGCAAATTCTTTAAATATAAAAAACGTACTTGCAGTCTGTGAGTCAGAACAGCCGGCGTTGTAGTCTACTCTACCAGGATCAGGAAACAGTCCTCCATAAAATGTGCTGCACACATCTGAATATTTGGGTTGAAGTGTTCTGGAACAGTGTTGTAAATACAACTTAACCACTGATTTCTAGTTGTGTCCTCTTTTGGAAGGCCAAACAAAGTAGTTTCGCTTTCACAATGAAACACAGCATCACACGCGGCGGCTAGAGTGAGGAACGAGTGAGAGGAGGCCGGTGAGCTTGAGAACGGCGCAGCCGGCGGATTCGACGAAAGAGCGTCCGGAGGGCTTGCGGCAACCACATGTGACGACTCCGGGCTGGACTCCGCTTCGTCCACGGTGAAAGCCGATCCAGCGATGCACAGCGAGAAGTTGATGCATTTCCTCAGCGACCAGCACTGATCAGCTCTAGGCATGACGAAGCGGATGTTGTCCTCTTTTGGAAGGCCAAACAAAGTAGTTT